ACCTCTAGCCAGACTCACCAAGAAGCAAAGAGAGAGGACCCAAATAAACAAAATCAGAAATGAAAGAGGTGAAGTAACAACCAATCCCAAAGAAATACAAACGATTATGAAAAAATACTATAAACAACTCTATTCCAACAAAATGGATATCCTAGGTGAAATGGACATATTCTTAGAAAAATACAGTCTCCCAAAATTCAACCAAGAAGAATCAAAAAACCTGAATAGGCTGATAACTACTAAAGAAATTGAAGCAGTGATCAAAAATCTTCCAGCAAACAAAAGCCCTGGTCCAGACGGCTTTACAGGTGAGTTCTACCAAGCATTCAAACCTATCCTACTCAGACTCTTCCAAAAAATTAAAGAGGAAAGCACACTTCCAAGCTCTTTCTATGAAGCCAGCATTACCCTAATCCCAAAACCAGATAAAGACACCACAAAAAAAGAACTACAGGCCAATATCCTTGATGAACATAGATGCTAAAATCCTCAACAAAATTCTAGCAAATAGGATTCAGCATTATATTAGAAAGAATATACACCATGACCAAGTGGGATTTATTCCGGGGATGCAAGGATGATATCCATAAATCAATAATTGTCATACATCACATAAACAAAGAGACAAAAATCACATAATCATATCAATTGATACAGAAAAAGCATTTGTCAAAATCCAACACCCTTTCTTGATTAAAACTCTCAGCAAAGTGGGAACAGAGGGATCATACCTCAACATAATAAAAGCCCTATATGACAAACCTATAGCCAACATCATACTCAATGGGCAAAAACTAAACTCATTTCCCCTAAGAACAGGAACAAGACAGGGATGCCCACTTTCACTACTCCTGTTTGACAGTTTTGGAAGTGCTAGCAATAGCAATTAAACAAGAAGAAATAAAAGATATCCAAATTGGAAAAGAAAACGTAAAACTGTCATTATTCACAGATGGCATGATACTGTATATAGAAAACCCTAAAGACTCCATCAAAAAATTATTAGACTTAATAAATAAATTTGGCAATGTAGCAGGATATAAAATTAACACCCAGAAATCTATGGCCTTTTTATACACCAATAATGAACTCACAGAAAGAAAAGCCAAAAAAAAAATCCATTTTCCATTGCACCAAAAAAATTAAGATACCTAGTAATAAACTTAACTAAAGTTGTAAAAGATCTGTACTCAGAAAACGACAGGACATTGAAAAAAGAGATAGAGGAAGACATAAACAAATGGAAGAACATACCATGTTCATGGATTGGTAGAATCAACATCATTAAAATGTTTATACTACCCAAAGCAATCTATAGATTCAGTGCAATCCCTATTAAAATACCAACAGCGTATTTCAAAGATCTAAAACAAACTCTCCAAAAATTCATCTGGAATAAAAAATTTTTTAAAAAGACCCTGAATAGCCACAGCAATCCTTAGAAAGAAGAACAAAGTTGGAGGGATCACAATACTAGATATCAAGCTATATTACCAAGCCACGGTTCTCAAACTGCCTGGTACTGGCACAAGAACAGACCTATAGACCAATGGAACAGAACAGAGAACCCAGAAATCTACCCAAGCCATGACACTCAATTAATATTTGACAAAATAGGCAAGAGCATACAATGGAGTCAAGACAGTCTCTTCAATAAATGGTGCTGAGAAATTTGGTCAGATACATGCAAAAAAAATGAAACTAGATCACCAACTTAAACCATACACAAAAACAAACTCAAAGTGGCTAAAGAACTTAAATGTAAGATGGGAAACCACAAAAATCCTACAAGACTCCATAGGCAGCAAAATAGCAGACATATGTCATAGCAATATCTTTACAGACACAGCTCCTAGAGCAATGGAGACTAAGGAGAAAATAAAGAAATGGGACGACATCAAAATAAAAAGCTTCTGCACAGCAAAAGAAACAATTAAAAAAAAACACACACAAAAAAAAACAAGAAAGCCCACTACATGGGAGAACATATTTGTCAATGCTATTTCAGGTAAGAGTTTAATCTCCAAAATTTACAGAGAACTCATACAACTCAACAAAAGGAAGATAAATGATCCAATCAAAAAATGGACAAAGGATCTAAATAGACACTCTTCGAAAGACGACATACAGAAGGCCAGGAGACATATGAAAACATGCACAAATTCACTAATCATCCAAGAGATGCCAATCAAAACAACAATGAGATACCATCTCATACCTGTCAGAATGTCTATCATCAACAAATCAACAAGTGACAAGTGCTGGCGAGGATGTGGAGAAAAGGGAACCATCTTGCAGTGCTGGTTGGAATGCAGACTGGTGCAGCCACTGTGGAAGACAGTATGGAGCAGCGGTTCTCAACCTGTGGGTTGCAACCCCTTTGGGGGTCGAACGACCCTTTCACAGTGGTTGCCTAAGACCATTGGAAAACACATATAATTACATATTGTTTTTGTGATTAATCACTATGCTTTAATTATGTTCAATTTGTAACAATGAAATTGTGAGTCACCACAACATGAGGAACTATTAAAGGGTCACAGCATTAGGAAGGTTGAAAAACACTGGTATGGAGTTTCTTCAAAAAGTTAAAAATGGTGCTCCCATTCAACCCAGTAATTCCACTTCTAGGACTATATCCCAAGAAACCAGAAAAACCAATCAGAAAGGATATATGCACCCCTATGTTCATAGCACAATTTACAATAGCTAAGATTTGGAAACAGCCTAAGTGCCCATCAGCAGATGAGTGGATTAGAAAACTGTGGTACATCTACACAATGGAATACTATGCTGCTATAAAAAAGAAGGAACTCTTACCATTTGCATCTGCATGGGTGGAACTGGAGAGCATCATGCTAAGTGAAATAAGCCAGTCGGAGAAAGATGAGTATCACATGATCTCACTCATATGTGGAATATAATGATGAACATAATTTTGATGAACAAGAATAGATCTAGAGACAAATGGCGGGGGGGGGGGTGTTTAGAGAGCAACCAAAGGACTTGTATGCATTCATATTAGCATAACCAATGGACACAGACACTGGGGCGGTGGGGGCTGTCCGTGGTGGGAATGGCTAGGGGTGTGGGGGTCAGTTGGGGAAAAAGAAGACATCATGTAAAACTTTAGACAATAAAAAAAATGTTAATTCTTTTTATCCATAAGCACTGTATATGCTTTTATTTATTTGTGTCTTCAGTTTCTTTCTTCAATGTCTTATAATTTTTGAGTACAGATCTTTTACCTTCTTGCTTGAATTTATTCCTGGGTATTTTTTTATACAATTGTAAATGGGATTGTTTACATAATTTCTTTTTCTGATAATTTGTTATTGGTTTATAAAATGCAACCAAATTTCTGAATATTTCTTTTTTTATCCTACTTTGATGAATTAGTTTATTAGTTCTAAGAGTTTTTGGTGAAATCTTATAGGGGTCTCTATATATGATATGTCATCTGCAAATGACAGTGTTACTTATTTCTTTTCTTTTTGCCTGATTGCTGTGGCTAGTACTTTCAATACTGTGTTGAATAGAAGTGGTGAAAGTGGACACCCATATCTTATTACTGATCTTTAAGAAAAATGCATTTAGCCTTTCACTGTTAAATATGATATCACCTGTGGGTTTGTTATATATTACCTTTATTATGTTGAGGCATATTTCCTGTGGTCCCACTTTGCTGAGAATTTATATCATAAATGGATGCTAGATTGTGTCAAATACTCTTTAAGCATCTTTTGATATGATTATATTATTTTTATCTTTTTAAAACATGTTTTTCTTGATTCTTGGGGAGGGAGGGAGGGAGGGAGGGAGAGAGAGAGAAAGAAATCGATGTGAAGTGAGAGTGAAACATCAGTTGTCTGCATCCTACACACTCCTTACTGGGGATTGAACCTACAGCCCAATCATGTGCCCTGACTGGGAATTGAACCAGCGACCTTTTGGTGCACATCAGCCAGGGCATATCCTTCATTTTGTTCAAGTGGTGTATCACGTTAATTGATTTGTGGATATTGAAGCAACCTTGCATCCCAGAAATAAATGCTACTTGATCATGGTGGATGATCTTTTTAAAATATTGCTGGGTCCGATTTGCTAATATTTTATTGAGGACTTGTGTGTCTGTGTTCATCAGGGATATTGCCTTATAATTTTCTTTTTTTGTAATGTCTTTGTTGGAATCAGGGTAATGCTGGCCCCTCATAAAATGAGCTTGGTTGTCTTCCTTCATCTTGAAATTTTTGGAATAATTTGAAGAGGATCAGTGTTAGTTTCTCTTTGAATGTTTAGTAAAATACACCTGTGATGCCATCTGCTTGGGACTTTTTTGTTTGTTATGGGTTTTGGGGATTTTTAAAATATATTTTTTATTGATTTCAGAGAGGAAGGGAGAAGGAGAGACAGAAATATCAATGATGAGAGAAAATCATTGATCGGTTGCCTCTTGCATGCTCCCTACTGGGGATCGAGCCTGCAACCCAGGTATGTGCCCTGACCAGGAATCCAACCATTACCTCCTGGTTCATAGGTCAGCACTCAACCACTGAGCCACACCAGCTGGGATGTTGTGAGTTTTTTAATTTTCTTTTAACTTTTATTATTGAGAATACTAAAGGCCCGGTGCACTAAATTCAGCAGCAATTAAAGCGCTAGTGTCTGGCATGGAAGGGTAGGTCCTAGCTGACCTCTGGGCCATAGCAGCACCTGGGACCCAGGGCCTCCACACGCCCCCCACCGCCTGAGTCAGGGCACCCGAGTCCCCACGCAGAGATGCAGTGAGCGCAGCCGGACTCTGCAGGCCTGGGCACAGCATGGGCCTCTGGGCTGCACAGTGGCGCCTCATGGAAGCCAGGCAGGCAGTGCACTTTCTCCCACCGGCCTCTCAGACCAGCTCCTGCACGAACCCATGGGGAACCCGATCTGCCCCTATGGGCCCAGCGGCTGTGGTCTGGCTCTCCCAGAAGAGGCTGCTCGGGTGTCGAGGAGGCTCCTCATGGGCGCCCGGCACCTGAGTGCAGGGGCTTCTCCGGCATGCAAGCCCTTGTGTCCTGGAAGAGGGTAGCGGAGGAGTGAGAGCAAGCTCAGCGGACACCCTGCATTCTCACCACACCTCCGTCCCTGTCAACCCCTCTCCAGGTAGCCAGCGAGAGGTCACAGCCCCCCGCCCGGGCACCGTGGGAGGTTGGTCGCCACCACCCACCCCCAGTTCCCCATCCCAGCCCGGGGCCAGGCCCCCATCGGGCGATCAGGGCCTGCCTGTTGCTGGTCTGCTGGGCAGTCAGTCGGGGCTGGAATCCCTGCCCAGCTACTTCAGTGCCTGGGAACAGGGCAGCAGCCCTGCTGCCTCCACTGGTCACCGTCTGCGGGGCAATCAGCGGGGCAATCGGGCCCCCTCTCACACCCGCCTTGGCCTGGCACGGCCTGCTCACCTGCTCCACCATCCCGCCGCAGTCCCGCTCTCCTCAGGGCCCATGGGGCTAGCAGCACCTCCACTGCTGCCCTCTGCCAGCATCATGTAGCTGGCGCCCGCATGTTCTGTGCCACCCCCTGGTGGTCAGCACACGTCATAGCGAACGGGTCGAACTCCTGGTGGAGGGGACAATTTACATATTAGGCCTTTATTGTATAGGAAGGATTACAGATGCCCTCCTTTTTCCCCCTGTTGCCCCCCTCCACCTGGTTCCTACCCCACCCCAGGCCTTCACCACCTTTTTGTCTGTGTCCATAGGTAAGATCTTTGGTTAATCTCTTCCTGCCCCCCCTCCTCTCTTCCCTCTGAGATTCATCAGTCTATTCCACACTTCCATGCCTCTGATTCTGTTTATTTGTTTGTTAGTTTGTTTTGTTTCATACATGAAAAGACATTTTTTTATTATTTTACTATATAACATAGTAGTGAATATACCTGATTGCATTTTCTGTCTTTTGGAGGATTCAGTTTCCTACGACGTGTATGATACTGTCCACAAGGATACCAATGGTGCTTAGTAGTAAAGAACATTTTGCTAAGTTGTTCTATCATGGATCCTTGCTCAAAGTGTTCATCTTTTTCTTCTAATCTGGTTTTTGGTGTTTGATCCTGTGTTTCTCCATAATTATGCACAAGATCTGGCCGAGGGATAGGTTTAGTGTGTTCATATGGAATATCCACAGAAGGATGGTAGTAAACTATTGTTGTGCCATCAAATGTCAAAGCAAGTTCTACTTTGCAATTATAGTCATCTGGAAGAGAAGAGTATGTAGATTTATGACAAACACAATATAAAGGTCCATTTTGGATTGGAAATAAATATTTCAAGACAGTTCTGTTTGATATTGCCCATTTCACTGCTGATACGTCCATGGTGAATCAAGATGCTTATCAGATGGTATGGAAAAAGATTTGAAGAGAAAATGCTTTTAAAATTTGCTTCTAGGCATACCTGTTTTTAATCCCTCGACAGCTGCTCACTGCGAGCCCACCATCTTTCCTCCAGCTGGGTCCTAGGAGACATCACTCCTGCCTCTGATTCTGTTTTATTCACCAGTTTATTTTGTTCATTAGATTTCTTGTTTATTTTTATTTTTAGATTCAATTATTGGTAAATATATATGTGTTGCCATTTTATTGTTCATATTTTTTATCTCTCCATGTTCTGCTCCTTCTCCTTCTCCTCCCCTTTCCCCTCCTCCTCCCCTCCTCCTCCTCCCTCCTCCTCTATCTTCCTTCTTCCTCTTCCTCCTCCTTCCTCCTTTTTCCTCCTTCTTCCTCCTCCAGCTCCTCCTCCTCCTTCCTCCTCCTTCTCCTCCTACTCCTCCCCTTCTTAAAGAATACCCTTCAACATTTCATGTAATACTGGTTTGGTGGTGATGAACTCCTTTAGCTTTTTCTTATTTGTGAAGCTCTTTATCTGACCCTCAATTCTAAATGAGAGCTTTGCTGGGTAAAGTAATCTTGGTTGTAGGTCCTTACTAATCTTCCTGGTTGTTCACTTTGAATATTTCTTGCCACTCCCCGCTGGCCTGCAAAGTTTCTGCTGAGAAATCAGCCAACATTCGTATGGGCACTCCCTTGTAGGTAACTAACTGCTTTTCTCTTGTTGCTTTTAAGATTCTCTCTTTATCTTTAACCCATGGTATTTTAATTATGATGTGTCTTGGTGTGGGCCTCTTTGGGTTCCTCTTGTTTGGGACTCTGCACTTCCTGGACTTGTAAGTCTATTTCTTTCTCCAGGTAGGGGAAGTTTTCTGTCATTTCTTCAAATAGGTTTTCAATATCTTGCTGTCTCTCTCTTCTCCTCCTGGCACTGCCGTGATGCAAATGTTGGTACTCTTGAAGTTGTCCCAGAGGCCCCTTACAACTATCTTCATATTTTTTAATTCTTTTTTCTTTTTGCTCTTCTGGTTGGGTGTTTTTTGCTTCCTCATATTTCAAATCATTGCTTTGATTCTCAGTATCCTCTACTCTACTGTTGAATACTGTAAATTATTCTTTATTTCAGTTAGTGTATGCTTAATTTCTGACTGGTCCCTTTCCATGTCTTTGACATTCTCACTAAGATCCTTGAAAGTCTCATGAAGATCCTTGGGTAACTTTATGACCGTGATTTTGAACTCTGTATCCAGTAGTTTGCTTGCTTCCATTTTTTTCATTTGTGACATGTTTCTTGGTTTCCACATTTTGGCTGCTTCCCTGTGTTTGTTTCTGCGTATTAGGTAGAGCTGCTATGTCTCCTGGAATTGGTAGAGTGGCCTTGTGTAGGTGGGCTCCTGTGTGGGCTATGTGCAAAATCTTGTTCTTGAGCCTTGATCGCTATTGGCATCACTGGGAGGAGTTGGCCTCCAGGCCAATTGACTGTGAGGACCAGCTGCAACTATAGTGGGAGAGCTGCTCTGCAGGAAACACCCCTATGGAGCAGGACTTGCTTCAGTGAGGATCTGGTGGTCACTGAGTTTGCCTCTGGAGTGTGTCACTTGTGGATGTGTAGAATTGTAATCTGTTATGGTCTGAAGCTGTCCACTGGGTGCACTGGCTCTAGGACCTTCAGGGAGGAGCAAATTTAGCCACTGCCTGGGGCCACACAGCAGAAGCTACAGAAGAATCTGCATACAGCTGCTATTTGCTGTTGGTAGTGGGCTTAGAGATTCTCAGGTGAGGCCCAGCTGTGAAGTAAGGAAACGTGCTGGATCTTGGGCCTTTTAATTATAGGTTTGGGGCACACTATCAACAGCTACTGCTTGTTTGAGAGATTTTAGCAAAGTCTGAAGCCTGAGCCAGGACAGGACATTCATATGAAAAAGCTGCTGCAAACAGGTTGGGTGGGGCTGCAAATTGGATGGGGTGGTGTCTCAAGGAATCACCAGGCTGGAGCAAACAGTGTGCTCCAGGCTGATATGGCTGCCTGCTCTGCGACAGGGGAGGTCCCTGCACAGGAATCCCTGTCTGGGAAAAAGCCATTCCCCAAGTCCTGCCTGGATGCCAGACAATCCATTTCCTCCCTCTATGTATCTGGGTCCCCCAAAGCTGCCCGGTGCTAGCAGTCTGAGTAAGTTCGTTTGCCAGCCCTTTAAATGGAACACCTGAGTCTTCAGTAGCCTCTGTGTCACTCAGCTACAATCCCCACTGGTTTTTACAGCTTGTAGTTGTGGAGACTTCTCTTCTCAGCTCTTGGAGCCTGGGCTGGGGGTCTGGTATGTGGCTGGGATCCCTTGCTCCTCCTGAGTGGCCTCCGCAAAGAAAATCTCCCTCCCAATTAAGAAAACACCACATGTGTTGGACCAGCCCATTCTGTGCCTTTACTCCTCCTACCAGCCTCTGTGTGCTTTCTTCTTTACTTCTCTAGTTGTAGGACTTCCAGGCAGCCAGCTTTCAGGCAGTTCTGGGTGATGGTTGTCTCTATTTTAGTTATAATTTTATTGTGGTTGTGGGAGGCAGTAAGTACAGGAGTTTACCTACACATCCATCTTAGTTCTCTTGTGAGTTTTTGATTATTGATTCTATTTTGTTAGTAATTATCAGTCTGTTCAAATTTTCTGTTTTTTCTTGATTCAGTCTTGGAAGATTATGTGTTTCTGGGTATTTATCCACTTCTTCCTGGTTGTCCAATTTGTTAGCATATAATTGTTCATATTTACTTTTAATCCTTTGTGTTTCTGTAGTGTCAGTTGTCATTTTTCCTCTTTCATTTATTATTTTATTTATTATTTAGCCCTGTCTCTTTTTCTCTTTATGACTTAGTTATAGGTTTATTAATTTTGTTTATCTTTTCTAAGAACCAGGTCTTGGTTTTATTGATCTTTTGTATTGCTTTTGTAGACTTTATTTCAGCCGTGGGCAAACTACGGCCCGCGGGCCGGATCCAGCCCATTTGAAATGAATAAAACTAAAAAAAAAAAAGACCGTACCCTTTTATATAATGATGTTTACTTTGAATTTATATTAGTCACACAAACACTCCATCCATGCTTTTGTTCCGCCTCCGTCCAGTTTAAGAACCCATTGTGGCCCCCGAGTCAAAAAGTTTGCCCACCCCTGCTCTATTTCATTTATTTCCACTCTGATCTTTATTAGTTCCTTTTTTCTACTCACTATGGGCTGTTTGTTGTTCCTTTTCTAGTTCCTGTAGGTATAAGATTAAATTATTTGATATTTCCTTTTCTTTCTTTTTTTGAGATAGTCCTATATTGATATAAATTTCCTTTCTTAGAGCTTCTTTGGTTGTGTCCCATATTTTGGGTGGTGGTGTTTTTATTTTCATTTGTCTCAAGGAATCTTTTTATTTCTTCCTTAATCTCATTGTTAACTTATTTACTGTTTAATACTATGTTATTTAGCCTCTATGTCTTTGTATGTTTATTAGTTATCTTTTTGAAATTGATTCTAGTTTCATACCATTGGAATAAGAAAAGATGCTTGAGCCCTAGCCAGTTTGCTCAGTGGATGAACATCAGTCTTTGGACTGAAGGGTCCCGGGTTCAATTCCAGTCAAGGGCACATGCCCAAGTTGCCAGCTTGATCCCCAGTAGGGGGTGTGCAGGAGGTAGCCGATCAATGATTCTCTCTCATCATTGATGTTTCTGTCTCTCTCTCCCTCTCCCTTCCTCTCTGAAATCAATAAAAATATATTTATTTTTAAAAAAAGAAAAAATGCTTGATAAGATTTCAATCTTATATATTCATTGAGACTTGTTTTGTGGTTTAACATGTGGTCTATCATAGAAATGTTCCATGTTCACTTGAAAAGAATGTATATTCTGTTGCTTTGGGTTGAAAAGTTCTAGGAATATAAATTAAATATCTGGTCTATCATTTAAGGCAACTGTTTCCTTGTTGATTTCCTGCCTGGATGAGCTATCCATTGATGTCAATGGGTTGTTAAATTCTCCCACTATGATTGTATTACTGTTGATCTCTCTTTTTCTGTCCAATAATACTTGCTTTATAAATTTAGGTGCTCCTACATTAGGTGCTTAAGTGTTTACAAAGGTTATATCCTCTTTTTGGATTGATCCCTTTATCTATATTTACTGTCCTTCTTTATCTGTTATTGTAGCCTTTGTTTTCAAGTCTGTTTTTTCTGATATAAGTATTGCTAGTCCAGCTTTTTATTTTTCATTTTCATTTGCATGAAATATCTTTTTCCCTCCCTTTAGTTTCAATCTGTGTGTGTCTCTATCTAAAGTGGGTCTCTTGTAGGCAGCATATGTATGGGTCTTGTTTTCTTATCTATTCAGCCATTCTGTGTCTTTTCATTGAAGCATTTAATCTGTTTACTTTAAAATAATAGGTATGTAGTTATTGCCATTTTGTTAATCATATTTCTATCATCATCTTTTTCTCCTCCTTCACTTCTTATCTTATCCCCCCTCTACTCCCTCCTCCTCCTTCTTTTAACATTTCTTGTGATACTAGTTTGATGATGGTGAACTCCTTTTTCATTTTCTTGTCTGAGTTCTCTATCTCTCCTTCTATTCTAAATCATAGCCTTGCTAGTAGAGTAATTTTGCTTGTTGGTCGTTGCTTTTCATTACTTTGAATATTTCCTGCCTATTTCTTCTGGCCCCCAAATTTTCTGCTGAGAAATCAGCTGACAGTTATATGGGTGCTCCCTTGTACCTAACTAACTTACTTTTCTCTTGCTGCTTTTCAGATTTTCTTTTTGTCTTTAACCTTTGGCAATTTAATTATGAAGTGTTTTGCTGTGGGCCTCTTTGGGTTCATCTTGTTTAGGACTCTGCACTTCCTGGACTTGTATGTCTATTTATTTATTATTTATTTTTTATTTTTTTGCCTTTTTAGGGAAATTTTCTGTCATTGTCTCTTCAAATAGGTTATCAATTCCTTGCTCTCCTCTTCTCCTGGTACTCCTGTGCTGTGAGTGTTGATGTCCCAGAGTTCCCTAAACTATCCTTATTTAATTTTATTCTTTTTTTTCTGTTTTGATTGTTTTTTTACCACTTCGTCTTCCAAATTGCTGATTTGAACCGCTGCTTCATCTAATCTGCCAATTTTTCTGTCTAATGTATTCTTCATTTCTGACTGGATCTTTTTTATGGTTTTTATCTCTTTGTGTAAGTTCTTACTGAGTTCATCTATTCTTTTTTTTAATTAAATCTTTATTGTTCAGATTATTACAGTTGTTCCTCTTTTTTTCCCCCCATAGCTCCCCTCCACCCGGTTCCCAACCCATCCTCTGCCCTTACCGCCCCCCCCCCACTGTCCTCATCCATAGGTGTACGATTGTTTTACAGTCTCTTCCCACACCCCCCACACCCCTTTTCCCCCGAGAATTGTTCTGATTTCATTGATCATCATTTTATAACCAGTGTTTTGACCTCTGTATCTAGTAGATTGCTTTCCTCTATTTGTTTAGTTCTTTTTCTGGAGATTTCTCCTGTTCTTTCATTTGGGGCATGTTTCTTTATCTCCTCATTTTGGTTGCCTCCATGTGTTTGCTTCTACACAATAGGTAGATATGCTGTGTCTTCCAATCTTTGCAGGGTGGCCTTATTTAGTAGGTGTCCTGTAGGACCCAGTGATGCAGTTTCCCTGTTCACCTGAGTTGGGTGCTCCAGCAGTGTTCCTTGAGTGGGTTGTGTACTCTGCTGTTGTATTTGAGCACATCAGTGGTTTGGATTGGCCCTTAGCCTGACTGGCTATGAGGACTGGCCCTGACTATGACAGACAAGCTATTATGCAGTGTTGACTTCTTAAATTGAGATTCACTGTAGCAGGGCTCTGGTGCCTGCTGACTCCACCCTTTTGTTGTATCATTTTCGGAGCGAATTGAGGTGGTGCTCTAGTGTGGTCTGAAGCCAGCCACTGGGTGTGTTGGTCCTGGGCCTCTTGGGAGGAGCTCAAGTGCAGTCCTAGGTAAGCTGCTCCCTGTGCCTGACCTAGACCTACCTAGCAAGAGCTACAGAGTTATCTGAGGTTGATAGCTGTCTATACTGGACTCCCAGGAGGTACCTGGGAGAAGCCACACTACGAAATGAGGCCGACTGCCACTAGTGCCAGTCTGGGAGACACTTAGTATGGGTATAGGGCAGTGATGGTGAACCTATGACACACGTGTCAGAGGTGACACACGAACTCATTTTTTTGGTTGATTTTTCTTTGTTAAATGGCATTTAAATATATAAAATAAATATCAAAAATATAAATCTTTGTTTTACTATGGTTGCAAATATCAAAAAATTTCTATATGTGACACGGCACCAGAGTTAAGTTAGGGTATTTCAAAATGCTGACACACCGAGCTCAAAAGGTTCGCCATCACTGGTATAGGGTATGCCAAGGCCAGCTGCTGCTTTTGCGGGGTTTGGACCTTTCAGAGAGTTTTAGGGAAATCCACAGCACTGGCCAAGACCAGCCACATGTGAGGAATACCCTCTGTAAGGGGTTCAGGCCTGTGTGTGAGTTGGGTTGTGCAGGTTCTCAGGGAATCCCTAGGGTAGGGTGAGTTGGATGGAGACTCATATTTGGTGCTTGCCTGTATCTGCATACTAGATGGAGAAGGGCTCAGCAGAGGAACAAAATGGGGCCCATCTGCTGTCTCTGTGAGGGGCAGAGGGGCACTCAGCAAAGGAACAATGGCCTCTGACAGCACATCTGTCTGGGAGAAAGCTGCCCATGCAGCCCTTGCCGTTGAGGTAGGCAATTCAATTCCTCCCTGTATGTCCCTGGCAATTTCGAGCTGCTGCCCCAGTACTGGAATTCAGCAAGTGAGTCTGTGTAAGTCTGTGTGCGGGCTCTTTAAGCAGAACCCTGGGGACTCCAGCGACCTCCAACTCATTCAGCCACAATCTGTGTTGGTCTTCACAGCTAGAAGTTATGGAACTTCTCTCCCCAGCACTGGAGACCTGGGCTGGGTTACCAGGAGTGGGGCTAGGTCCCCTTGATCCATGTCCGGACCTCCAAAGTTAAGATATCTCTCCCAGTTCTTAACCATCACACATGCATGTGGGATCTGCCTGTTCTGTGTCTTTGTCCCTCCTACCAGGCTTAACGTGGCTTCTTCTTTATATCCTTAGTTATAGGACTTCTGTTCAGCTAGTCTTCAAGGGGTTCTCAAGAGTGGTGGTTCTATAATTATGTTGTAATTTAATGTCATCATGGGAAGAGGCAAGCTCAATGTTTATGTATTCAGCCATCTTGACCAGAACTGTTTTGTTTCTCTTGCTTCACAGAAAGAAACAGAAGTAAAGGAACGATCTGTTTTTGACATCCCTATATTTACAGAGGAATTCCTGAACCACAGCAAAGGTGATTACCAAAGTATCATTCTGTGTTACTCATGTCTGTGACAGGGAATTTTGTTCTCAGGAATACATTGATCAAAAGCAATGATAGTGATATTCCAAATCCTAGGACTGGTCTAGAAGAAGAAAATTGTTTGTATTTTACTCTCTAGTAAAGGTAACTACTCAAAGACCAGTGAAGGAAAACTAGCCCAGTGTTGTCAAAACTGCTTTAGTCTCTGGATCAAAGCAAATAAATGTACATCACTAATTCAGTTGCTTTTGAACTATTAACCTGGAACCATTTATACAAATAAAAGCCTACGTCGGTGTCCCAAATGTAATATAAGAGCAAAATTTGACCTCATTGTAGTAAAGATGGGAACCCAAAGCCGTGGTTACCCATTGTTCCAATGTTTCCCTGTGGAATCCCTCAGGCTTTTCATTTCATAGTTTAAAACAAACAGACAAACAAAAATACTTGGAATTGCAACTGTTCCTTGTAAATTTAAGTATAGAATATGACCAGTTTTAAGAATTAAATTAGCTCTGGGGAGCCAGGCGTTTCATTCCAAATTGCTATTTGGAGGGCTACAATGAGAATAGAGTGATGAGGTGGGCTAAATTAGAGAAAGCTAAGCAGAACGTCCTTGGAAAAATTACTTGGACTCCTCAGAGATTCCTAGCACTCCATGTGTTCTGTGTGTATCTGGGGGGATGTCCTCAGCTCGGGAGGCAGAGCTTCGCCAGCTTCGCAAATCAAACATGGAGTTTGAAGAGAGGAATGCAGCCCTGCAGAAGCACGTGGAGAGCATGCGCACAGCAGTGGAGAAGCTGGAAGTGGATGTGATCCAGGAGCGAAGCCGCAACACTGTCTTACAACAGCACCTGGAGACCCTGCGGCAAGTGTTGACCAGCAGCTTTGCCAGCATGCCCTTACCTGGTAATGCCATCCTTACCTGAGCACTTCAGAAAGTGGGAGGTGCTGTTTATATTGATACTAGAGTCCCAGTGCACAAAATTTGTGCACGGGCGGGGTGTGCCTCAGCCCAGCCTGCAACTGCTCCAATCAGGGACCCCTCGAGGGATGTCCGACTGCTCGTTTAAGCCCGATCCTGGTGGGATCGGGCCTAAACAGGAAGTCGGACATCCCTCTCACAATCCAGGACTGCTGGCTCTCAACTACTTACCTGCCTGCCAGCCTGATCACCCCCTAACCACTCCACTACCAGCCCGATTGACACCTAACTGCTCCCCTGCCGGCCTGATTGCCCCTAACTGCCCTCCCCTGCTGGCCTGGTCACCCCTAACTGTCCTCCCCTGCAGGCCTGGTTGCCCCCAACTGCCTTCCCCTGAAGGCATGGTCCCCCCCAACTGCCCTCCCTTGCAGGCCTTGTCCCTCCCAACTGCTCTCCCCTGCAGGCTTGGTTTCCCCTAACTGCCCTCCCCTGCTGGGCTGGTCTTGTCTAAAATCTCCTCCCCTGCTGGCCCTGTCACTCCTAAATAGCCCTCCTCCTGCCG